AGACCCCCACCCCCTTCACACCAGGGGATAAACAACAACTGGTCCCTAATCTGTTTTTCATGCTACTTAGTAATGAGAATACCCCAGTATCTGTTATGTGCACCTGATGAAATAACCTATGACACAGAAGGCTTTGAAATCGGAAGCTTTGTGATGTGTGATCGATAGGCCTGATGCATGATAACTTTGTTAAATATTTTTCATGGTTACAAAAGTGATTGAAAAGAAATTGTGCTGATTCGGTCGTTTCTCTACTTTACAGAGAAAGGTCAAAGTGAATAACAGTTCAGAGAAAGGCAAACCGGTAAGAAGTTTTCAAATATTGGATTCAAATTAGTTTTTGGGGTAGAGTTAAAATTACCATTGTTGTGTTTTTCAAGTGTGTGTGATTCATTGGTATTGACAGTGTTTCTTGTGCCAATGATGATTTCAATATTTGCTAGTTGATCATTGAGATGTGATGACAACTTTTCCCACCAAGATCGCTGAGGCACTCTTACACAGTCTGAAAGTGCAAGAGCTGACTTAACCTTTTTCAACCCTTCAACTCTCAGAAGTGATTAACATGGAACTTCTCCCTATAATATCCATACCTTAGGTACCTTACCTTAGGTACCTTACCTTAGGTACCTTAGAAGCTAGAGGGGAGATCTTGGGAGCCAAAGGGTTAAGACTGCTCAGGTCACAGAGAATTTTGAATTAAATTATTTCTGTTTAGGGCAGGTGTTCATACACTTATATTAAGTATGTTTCAATGTCCAAGGTCAGTGGTGCATTTCATGAGCCAATGCAGGATGTGTCCGACAAGATTTGAGGGTAGATTTTACTGGGTGTGCTGTCATCGTTGTTTTCATCGTCACATCATGCTAGAAAAGCTGCCCTGGATTCTTACTCTCAATTTACCTTGAACAAAGTGAGTGTCATCAATTATCAGACTCAGTAGACTATTGATAGAAATAGATACGTTAATTTTTGTCATTCAAGATTGCATATGCTCTACTACATGTAGATAATCAAGTATTCCCCTTCTCATTCTTTAAGAGAGCTCTGATTGATGACTGGTGTGTGATGACTGCATAGTTCAACTGAACATTTTTGTAATGAGGTTGACATTAGCTCTATCTGACACTGTGTCTGTGATAACAAGGGGTTAGAATCATGTAGTTAACATGCCTAACCCTGTTCTTGAATGTGGTACATGCACATCCTAATTAAATCTGCTATTCTTTTTGTTTCAGGGAGCTTTTGAATGGAGAAACTTGCAAAGCTTGGTGTGGTTTTCTTTTGGGGTAGGTGGTAATTTGATCCAAAAACATGCAAATTACATCTAAATGATATTTAATCTTTTAATCTCTTAAGAGTGATGGCTGCTAATTTCTCCTTTATATCAAATGCAAAGGTCATGTAAATAAAGGAAATGATCACAACTTTAAGAAGCTCCTGATTGTCAGGCAAATTCTCCTAGTCAGTACTATTAGAAATGTGTAGTGAACAGTGGGGAAAATATAACTACTAATGTTAGTGCGTAAAGGGTTAAATCTCTGTAAATAAGGCTCTCTGTTTTCAACAAAGTGATTTAGTTATTTTTGATCTTAGATTTTCTCTTAACTTGCTCCTGTAAGAGGCTGGCCTTCCTCATACTCAAAGAAGTCTACAAGTTTTTGCCTTACCTAATGTGGTTTGTGATGAGTTCATAGTTCAGCCGATTGCTGATGATGATAATTCTCCCCCCTATATGAAACCGCCCCTAAGGTCTGATTGAAAAAACTTCCAAGTTTCTTTCTGGTGTCTAACAAGCAACTGCATGTCTCATTCTAATTGAAGCTAATTGTTTTTGTTTCAGGGAGTGAATGGCATAAGAAATTTGCACAGCTTTTATTTTTGTGGTTCCTATTTGTGTTTGTAATGAGGTGAGGTAAAGTCAAATTATAAAATAATAATACAGTTGTCTCTGCTACAAGTCATCAGTGATCATAGATTTTCTTGCCTTGCTCCTCTGAGAGGCTGGCCTTGAATGTTTTTAAGGAAGTTTTCAAGCTGTTGCATTACTTGGTGTGGTTTGTGATGAGTTCATAGTTCAGCTGATTGATGGTGACGATAAACTTCGCCCCTATCTGAAACCACCAAAAAGGTTTAACTGAAAAAGTTGAAATTCCTTTTCTTTGTCTAACAATGGGGTACTTATCTTAGGTACACTGCCAAGACCTAACCAAGCAAGGTTTTTGAGGTGAGGTAAGCATGATCAACATGTGACAACAACTTATATTGTTGAGTCTGGTGCAAGTGATGACCTCCAGAATAGGGACATAATAAAGTCACTCTGTGACTTGATTAGAAAATCTGGCTTTGCCTGATGCACCTCTTGTATTTGGTATCCTGTTTCCAAATTGTTTGGTACATGTCATGATCTTTAAGCCTTCAACCCCTGAGAATGACTGGCTTTTAACTTCTCCTCACAGTATCATCTTGGAATCCAACATTAACCCTTAATACCCTAACATCAGTATTCATATTCTCCATACAGTTATCTGTACATTTACCAAGGTGCTGACAAGGAGGATTTGTCTAACAATCAAGAGTTTCTGCAGTTGGTGATCATTTCCTCTATTCTCTTAACACTGATGTGTGATTCAGTAGTGATATTGTAAGGAGAAATTAAATGCTAGTCACTCCTAGGGATTAAAGGGTTAAGGTCCTAAGAATAAAGGAAATGATAGCCGGCTAAAGGAGCTCTTGATTGTCAAACAAATTCTCCTAATCAGCACCTCAGGAAATGTTGGGAAAACAGTTAAGGGTTAAACTTAAAAACTCCTCTCTGTGGCTTTAATTGTACACAAGGTTTTTTAATTTGTATTTTTTTAACCACTTGTTCTTCCTTTTTGTCCTGGATGTTTAGAATACCAGTGGTTTAAAGCAGGCAGGTTAAAGATCAGAAGTTGAGGCACTGTCATGGTAAGTGAAATTTTATTGCTAATTGATTCCCCTTTTCATTCCTGGTATATCTGAAAATTTTCATCAATTAATTATTAAGTGCTTTGATTTTGAAAAAAAAAATTGATGGTAGTGATTCTACAGGTCCTGTGATTTAATTGAAATTTTTAACAAGATGTATTTATTTTGATGTTTGTCAATCATGGATGTGGCCAATGATGCATAAAGTATTTGCTACTCTTGAATATAGCTGATGATAAATATCACCAAAATTTCTGAGGCCACTTTGTAGAGACTGTTTCAGGGATGTTCTATAAGGCACAAAGGTTAAAATGCACCAATTACTGTAGTTGAAACTTTGACAACAACAGATTAGAGTTCTTAGGTTCAATGATAGATCCTTCTCTGGTTACAATCTTGCAAATTGGTATGTTTGAATATTATAAGAGATCAAACATGATATGTTTGTGATGTGGGAAGTCAATGATCAACTAAGGCATGCTACAGATATGCAGGATGGCAAAGTGGTTGATTGCTGAACTAGCATTCTGGTGACCCAGAGAAGCCTTAATGGAGAAGTTGTCAATCATGATTACTTGTTGATTTTTAATTCTATTTCCATGTGATAGTGAGGTATTTTCTCATTATGTCTCATCAAATAACTGATGTTGTACATGTAGGTTGTGATTTGGGATCAAGTGTTATGCTCCTTTAGTTTACAAGGTAATTACAGGGCGTGAAATTGCACCTAATACAGGCGCCAATGCGACAAATTTTTTTACTTTGGCAACCAAATCCTGAAAATTAGTTGCCAAATTGGCAAGTAGAATGTTTTATCATAACCTTACTTAGAGATATAGTAAATTAAAAAGATTTGCAAAGATAAATCCGCAGCAAACTTCCTCGTTAAGTTTGTTTCCAAAACACAGCACATGCATCTCAATTGATAACTAGATTTAGGATGGATTTAGGCGAGCTTAAACATTGCATATCATCCATTCTATTGTCCACTTTGTAGTACGTTAAAGATCTTTTCCCTAACTTAATTTCTAGAACGATGACAGTGTAAAAAAAAGGGTTTGTTTGACTTTGAAAATGACAACCAACTTTTTTTTAATTGGCTACCACTTTGAATAATCTAGGAGCCAAGTGGCTATCAGAAAAAAAATCAATTTCACGCCCTGAATTATTGTATTTGCATTGTGTTTGCATATCCTGAAGACTAAAAGTTTGTGGAAAACCAGAGCAGTTGCCTCTCTTAGAGTTCAAGTTCTATTGTAAAGGGGGCTTTGGTCAAAAAGAAAAATAAAAGGAAAATGAAAGTTGTATTCATATTTTTCTAGGTTCATCAAATTTGATTCTGCCATGGAAATCATGGGAACAGATGGACAATAATTTTCTCAGAATACATTTAGCAAGGTGAGAAATATATTGAGTAAATAATCATTTTTGCAGTATTTTCAGCCAAGCCCTGATTGTTTACAATGGAAAACAGCGAAAAAATGTCATGGAAAAGGTTGTGGATCATGATGGTATTATCCTTAGTTTGGAAGATAATGCCCAGTGTTCAAACCCCCAGTTGAAAGCCAGTGATGACTTAATATATTCAGTCATAATCCACTGATATTTACTTCTGAAGACTACATTAATACTGAGGCTTTCTTCTATTAAAATCACACTTCCTAACTCTGTTAACTTTGCCAAAATGGGATTCACTGCACTTGTGATCTTTTTATCTTCTTTCCCAGGTTGTCTTTGAACAAGAGCTGTGTAACTGGAATGTCTTGCAACCAAGACTGGGCCTGATTTCTTCTCTGTATACTGATTAATTCACAGTGATAATAAAATTTTCAAACAGTATTTTTGTAGTTCACTTGCTTGTGTACCATTGACAGTAATATATAGTCCTGCCTGTATAACAGCTGTTCTGACTTGCCAATGTCCCAACTTTCACATCTGTTATCAAAAGATGCAGAAAGCAAGAGGTTCCCACTTACTTGGGTCAGTGGATATACAGCCCGTGCAGGCACTGATTCCAGAACCTGAATTTATTTTTTTTTATTTTTTTTTCTTTGGTATCAACATTTACCACTTGACATTGTAAGCAGAATAAAGATGTACTTACCATGCCTTTTATAGCACATATATAAAAATAATCTACTGTTTTAAAATAGTTTATTGTAAATAGTTACACGTACTTAATAGCATAAATAATGTTGCATCAAGAAAAATACATCTACTTTCATAAAAAAGATATCACTTAGAGTTACATTTCATTTTGTAATAATTTATCACCAGATACAGCATCATCATTTATAACAGGAAAATAAATTTTGATCATGACACTTGACACACAAAAGCTATAAATGGAAACATTTTAAAACTACATATAACCATCAAAGTCTGATCAAAGATTCTTTACCAAAAGCCCTTGAAATATTCAAAATTGAAATGTTGGCTTTTGGGTTGTTGTTAAATAGTATTACCTAGTAAATAAAGTCCTAATTATAAATATTCAGTCACAACCTACTCTTTTCCTGAAAATATTTACAAGGAACATGACCCACTCGTTGTGGTGACTAATAACAATTATGTGTATGTAACTGTTTCTTCTTACTGATGTCCTTGTTTTCACAAAGCTCCTCTTTAAAAAATTTAATGGCACATCCTAGGTTTTAAATGGTTTTGAACCACTATTGTGTATGCTCGGTGACCAATATTTCCTTTGTGGTATATTTTGGTTTTGAACCATTTTATTATATGCGCTGTGACCAACTTCCTTTCTGGAATTTTATGGTTCTTTCCTTTCTGCTTTGTTTAGCCATTTGTATCTTTTTTGTTTGTTTGTTTGTTTGTTTTTCCTCTTTTTTGAGGGTTATTATCATTATCATTATTATTATTATTATTATTATTATTATTATTATTAACTTAAAAACAGGTCTACAGAAGATGCTGATAGGAGAGGATTAATGTCAAGAATGTCATTAAAAGATTAAGAGAAAGCCAGCATAATATAATGCAGGGCAAAGTTAGCTGTGTAAAACATGGCATTGCCATTTGCAAGTCTGAATATGACTCTTTGAATAAGAAACTGGGAAGGTAATAATTTTTTAAAGTTGCCTGCAACTTAACTTTGTGTTTTTAAAGTGGCTTTCAGCATACCGTATAAGAAAAATTGTCCCTTCATTTTCCCTGGCTTACAACATATTAAGATTCTAGAAGCCTTCAGTCTATAGTTAGTTCCATGTTCTATGTGCCCTGTTTTGTGCAGAGGTTAATGGGAATTTTTTTTTTGGAGGGGGGCTCTCTGTAGACCCAACAGCTGCAGGTTACAGCCAGTTACTTATTTCTTGTTTCAAGTGTGCTAAATAATTTCCCTCATTGTATAGTACGTAACTCCCATGGCCAGTTGCAAATATTGGTGGCCACATCATACCTGTTGCAAGAAACGAGAGCTTCTACAAAGCTTCTCACTGAGGGTACTATTGGAAAGGTGCTCAATTTATCAATAAGACTAACTGTAGGACTTCTTCCTGCTTTGTAGTCAATTTCTATCAAGTCCAAGTCTTCCTCTGAAACATTCAAGATTTGCCCAACAGAGCGCCAATTTTTCTTTGTCTGTTTCTCCAGTGGATCCAGCATCCTTTGCACATAGTGCAAGAGTATTTGATTGTCATTGTTACGCAGCTGTGGCATTTCGGAAACTTTGCAATCTAAGAGTTCGATGGATAAAAGTATTAATAAAGTAACGAACTGGGGTTAGAGTTGTAACATGAAATATGCTTTTTGTAGTACTATTGGTGGAAAAAGACATGCTTTAATTGTTAAGGATTCCCAAGGTTTAAAAATTGCTTTATTTTTAAGAGAGCAATGTTTGGCAGTGGACGGAAACTTAGCCTCTGTGGTCCAGGTACAACATACTAATTCAGGGGATGAGTTTACTTCCATTTTAACACCCATTATGGGGCTACAATTGTGCAATTTATTGCACCAAGCTAAGAAGAGGGTACATGTAAGAGATGAAATGCAACATCTGAATGACTAATAGCACAGTCATCGCATGATCTTAATTGCATAACAAGAATAAACAAGTAATCAACTTAGTCTACCAAATGGCAGGATGTATGCCCCACCTGCTGGAATCAGATCAGTTTTTGGCTGGTCTTGTCTAAGCTCACTAGTGAGAGGCTCCTCATGGTCACCATCTGCCAGCACATCTGAGAGAAAAAAAGTTAAGAAGCAGTTTGGTTATCCTAGAAAGCAACTTGCTGATTACCATACAATCAGGAAAGTCTTAACCCTCCAAATCCCTGAATTAATTGACATGCAACTTCTTCCTGTAATATCCATACACTATCCAGCAAATAGTCTATGAGAATAATCAAATTTATCAGGTAGAGGTTATCTTGATCCCACCCTAAATTCTTGTAACAGAACTAAAGGGAAATGTGTGACAGCTAGTGAGGAGAATGAACAGTTAGAACTAGAGAGTTAAAAGGTGAACTCTTTGATTGCCAAGATCTGATTGTTAATTCTCCCCTCTTGAAGAAAAGTCTGCTCAAGAGATGTACATCTTGAAGTAGATTCATTTTTGTCCAAAAGCTTGTCAGTAGAATGTGTGATGCAAAACTATTATGTTAGTTGTCACTACCTTCTACAGTTTCTGTTGAGCCATCTCTATCCTTGGCACCTTGTATACCTTTCAGGGGTATACACTCGTTAGAATTTGTAACTGCAACAAAGCATTGTTGTGTTATTGTACGCTACACTGAAAGTTACTATTATGTGTCTATTAATCAACAAAGTACACTTTGATGAAGCCAAAAATGAATTTAATAATATTAATGGGAGTCAAACTATGGACCCAACCAAAAAGGTTTACCTGATTAAAAAAAATGAATGAAAACAAATTAACTTACACAAACACTGGAAAAAGTTGTATGAAGGAGACATACTAATGTGTTCGAGCGTCAAGATTTAAGTTTACTTAAGGGACAGAGATGGTTGTGGCCCCTTAGATCAAATTTAAAATGAAATAATTTTATTACTTGAGGACAATTGACATATGATGGTCATAGTAAAATCGCTACTTGCTTAGTTTCAATTTGTGTACTTTCGTGCGAAACCCCACTTGAACATGATTATGGCAAGAATTTATTAAATTACTCAATTTTCTCAAAGGGTCTACTAATTCCATAAATGTCACAAAATATACTCGGGCTATTAAAGAAGGAAAAGTATGACTTTTTCTTACCGTCTGAATGTGAGCGTTTCCAGCAGTAGTGAATGATTGCACCCAAAATAAAAACTAGAGTGGCAGCCCCAATAGCTATCAAGGCTATAGATGTAGATGTTACTGTTTCCCCTTCTTCTTTTGTCGACCTCTTGTCTGTACCTGTCTTTGTTGTTGCTGGAAGCGAATTGTTTTTTTCGGATTTGAGTACAGGTTCCCTGGTGTCTCCTTTACTTGAAACCATACCAGTTAAGTTCAGGTCAGAATCAGAGGCAGGGCGGAGATCAGCACTAGGAGCAGGTGTGGTTACGTCAGTAGTAGTTGAAGTAGCATTTTCCACAGTCTCCCTTATTTTCTTGCAGAGTCTATTCTCATGGGACTCAAGGCACTGCCAGTCCCTGCCCATTCCAATGTCTTGACAGCTTTTCAGCCTGGAAGACTCACGGACATCAGAGCAGCAAAAATAACATTCCTGGCAGAAACCATTGTCGTCCATAAAATGTCTTTCAGGGCACCTGTTTCCACATTTGCGGTTTTGATAAGGGGTACACTGCTGGATAATGTTCCTTAATCCACAGTCATGACAGGGTCTGCAGCTTTCAATGCTATGTGTGTCAGAGAAGGTCGCATTCTCTCTGCAAGGTTCACATTTGATGTTGGTGTAGTTAGAGATCTTTGAACCGCATAATGGTGTGAGTCCTGTTCCTTCTGGGCACTTGGGACATGCTATGCACTCTATTTGAGCTTCTGGAGCATCGGGAAAGTATCGTAAGAAATTTCGCGACAGGGAACATCTCGCCGGCCTTCCAGAAGCAAATCGTGACCACAATAATAAGAACAGGATCAGCTAAGATAAAAATATCAGTATTTATTAATTGCAGTAGTCGAGAACTTGCACAAATTAGTGAAATTATGTTTAAAAATATAAGATAAAGAGGAAACGTGCGCTACAAATTTTGGCTAGAGCTATATTACGCATTATTCACGACATATTTTTCAGAGAAGTATTTTTAAACTACAATAAACATTCGCAACAACCAAACAACTTATTCAATGTTTACGGCGGAGATAACGGAGCAGTGAGCAACTCCGCAACACAGCAATGGGAAATTATTTCCATGTTTGTGAACTTGTTTGTGATCTTTTAGTCTGTGCCGCTTTTTTTCGAGAATTCTGCAGAAAATTCTAGTCGAAGGCCAGCTTTCTGCCGGCATAATTTACCCACGCCTTAACAACAAGTAACATTCTATTAACATTCATAAAAACCAAACAAGTTATTCAATTTTTTTCAGAGGAGATAATCGTGAGCAACTTCGCAACACAGCATTGGGAAATTATTTCCATATCTGTTAACTTGTTTGAGTGCTTTTAGTCTGTGCCGCTGGTTCTGAGAATTCTGCCGAAAATCTTAGTCGAAGGTCAGTTTTCTGCCGGCATAATTCTAGTTACGCAAGATGCGTAATTTCACTAACAAGTATCTACAAACATTATCTCACCTTAATAGAACCTTTCATGCCGTTCTCGTCATCATAAATGAGTTTGTGTCGTTTGTTAGCCTGTGTCAAGAAATAAACATACAAACTCAATCGAGTCTAGCCGAAAGCATACCAGAACATAGTTAAACAATTGTAGATCAAGCAAGTGTAAATTGAAGGGTTAGATCACCTTTACTCGCTTACCGTTTTGTATTGCTTCAAATGAGTACTCTCGATGCTGAAAATCATGGAGTTTCCGATCTCGAAAGCATAAATTTCCGTCGATGTACAGCTGTTATACTTAAACGCTTTTGTTTAGCCCTAATGAACAGTCCTAATAACATACGAGAATTATGGTCTTACATAAGACGAGAAAGTTCGCTCTTAATTGATTTCGCATTTATTATGAAGGGGTTTCCCCTTAACACTGCAAATCAGCGGAGGTCATGCAGATAAAACGTCTTTAGCGAGCTGCCTTCGAACTAACCTTGAAGCTTCATATGACTAAAACTTTTAATGAAACAGCCGACTATCTTTAGTGGGCGTTAAGATCACAGAGGAGAGAACGGTTTATGGAGGAACTGTGTTGAGTAGGTAGGGGATTCCCCGTCCCAGAACTACTACGTGCCTTCGTTCATGCATGCATCATCTTATCACGTACACCTCTGACGTAGCAAAAAAAAAGTGCAAAGAGGTCGAACGAAAAGGAATATTCGATGAAAACGGCATGAACACTCTTTTACTCTAGTTTTTTTTAACTTCCCTCGATCGATTTAATTCTTTTCCCCGAAGTTGCAGCGTCATTCCATAAAACAAATTGCAAACGCCGTAATGTCATGTGAGTTGTGGTTTACCTCCTACGCAGTCTATTCTTTGGGAGTGTAAAGGTCGCACGGGTAAAGAAAGAAAAAATATATCGTGTCTATGAAATTAATATTTCACACAGTGCTTATTGTGGCATTTTTTGAAAGATTTCGAACGATTCTGCTCATTTTATGAAGCTCGAAGCTCGCAATAAAAAATAGTTAAGATGCGGCGGCTGTCGGAATTTCTAAGCTTTTCTTCATCTGTAAGCTATAATCACGGAAGGGTGATTATGCAACTCGATAGAATAATTAATACATTTTTTTCCGCTTTCCAAATATATTTTCTGAACATTCTCTTTTCTCGTCCTAATTCCTCCTACGCGCCTTTGATGAAGGAATATTTTGCACGTGCCAACTGAGAGTAACCATCCTTTCAAACATCATCTTCTAGGGTTTTAGATTAGAAGTGAATGGTTTTATCACGTAGTTTGAAAAATCCAGGAAGAACAATTTATTTTATGGTAAGGAAATCATGAGATAAATCTGAATGTTCTGATTGGATCTTTCATACTTGGAAGGTAATTAGCCTAACCTAAGATCTGTATTTTTGTCAGCGAAAGCCGACAAGTTAAAAAACATAGGCATGTTATGCATGCAAGAGTAACAAGAGTTATGTGTGAGTTAATTCGACATTTTCGTTCTTTTCCGCGTTAATACTCTTCTTTCCTTTTGTAAGAATGTAGACATCACTTACAATGTTTCAAGTAATCCACCCACCCCCCAAAAAATAACTCTTGCTTGCATAGCATGCCTATGTTTTAAAGAGGGTGAAACTAAAAAGTTAAAATGAAAAAATAAAATTGTGGTCCTCTATTTAAACGATAGCCTCTATTTGGCATGAAAATATGCACTGATTTTTGTCCGCAAACATTATTTGTTCCAGGATGCGAACAGTTTTCCGAAAGCTGAAGGGCGAGGAAAACTGTGAAATTCGAGGAACAGATAATGTCCAAGGACAAATATATGAGCATGTATTCGGGCAAAATAAAGTCTATAAACAGAGATAAGATACTACGTGTATGAAGTGTGCGTAAAATTGAAGAGCTAATGAAAAATTGAATGTTAAACTATAAAATGTCCGGCTCTAAAGTCTGAATATCAAGCTATAAAAATTTTTGGAATTAGAATGAAAATAGAATACAAGGTATGCCAGGTGTTCTCTTATTATAAATTGCATATCGAACCATAAAATGTCTCTCTGATGTCTGAGTATCAAACAATAAAAGTCTGTATAAAATTATGACGACTATAAAAATATCTATAAAATTACGTCGAAGATAGGATACGAGGTATACGAGGTGTACAGATAATTAGAAAGTTTAACATAAGACGCCTAATCATCAGGGTTCGAAATTAATCATGAACAACTTGATATCAAGCCGAACACTCAACGAGAAATTCCATATCTACTCGCGCCATTTGTTATTCTCTAGAAAAGCAATTACAAATCCCCGTAGAAATAAATAATAAGATAATCCCCGTAGAAATAAATAAGAAGATAAAGTTAAATATTTCAATGATAAAAAAATATGAAACATAAATTAACATAATAGTTTGTCGCAATGGAGGAAAATACATTAAGTATTTCTAAACGCATTAATCGTTGAGCAAATTGTTAATTGTTCGCCTGGCAAGTTGACCATCGGAAAACCAAAATTGAATTTATATTAACCACGAGGGTGGATGTCTATTATCAAAAAACATAACAGGCAATGGGCAACAAAGCGCACCTAAGGGGGAAGAACATCTAATTCTCAGAATAGTAATAAGGATCAAAATTCACCGATGGCAACGCGCCGTAACACACAAATAACAAAAAACAACAAATAGCACATGGCGATCAATACGTGATTGATAAGCCTGCCTCTTTTTACCTCAAGAGACAAACAACTAAACTTTCATTTATTTATTAGCTTTGTGTTTTTGCTTTTTGCTTTGTTTTGTTTTGTTTTGTTTTTTATTTAATAAATAAAAGTACGCAATGCATAAATCCCTGATAAATAATAAGTTTCTCAAAGCTACCTAACAAATATCCAAAGAGGGATAACATAGAAACGCGTACTAGTAAGTCAATAATATGGCCTGGAGCTGGTATCCCGATGTCACGGAACGCACAAGGGTAGCGTTGATTGTGTGACATTCAAAAAAACGGCTGGCTGGGGAGAAAAATATCCTCAGGCTAGTTGCTTAACCATTTCTGGTTGCTGGACCGTATCTGGTTGCTCATGGTTCTCCAGTTCAGTACAGTTACGTTTCTCCCATGGCCAGTTACAAATGTAATTGGCCTCGTCACTTCTTTCACAACTGATCAGAGCTTCGACAAATTCTTTCATTGAAGGCTCTGGTGTAAAAGTCTTCAATTTTTCTATAAGACCCTCCGTAGGACTGCCGTTTGACTTATATTGAAGTTTCAGTAAGTTTAAGTCTCTTTCGGTAACTTTTAAATGACGTCCCACTTCTCGCCAACCTTTCTTTCCCGGTAGATCAGGATCAAGCATGTCTTGAATGTTGTGCAACATCAGTTCATTTTCATTATTACATAGCGTAAACATTTCTGAGACATCACAATCTGAAAAACATTAAAGTTGTAACAAAAGAATAAAGCAACTTTTAGCTAGGAAAATGCGTGATCTTCAACGGGTTTCCTTCACTCTGAGAATAACCCTCGCCACCACACAATCACTGTACATAATATCATTAACATTGCTAATTGTGAATCTCGAAAAGATAAACGTGGCGTCGATAAAACTTAGCCTGTGCAGAAAGTTTTCGCATTTAAAAGGCTAGAGAGGGAGAGTTACTCGGCTTATTTATTTTCTTTTTCGAATTCAGGATTAACCCTTTATCCCTGAGTGTGACTAGCATCTAATTTCTCCTTACAATATCACTACTGAATCAAACATTAAGGTCATGAGAATAAAGGAAATGATAATGAACTGAAGAACCTCATGATTATTAAACAAACTTCCTTGCCAGCATATTAGCAAATGTACAGAGAACTGTACGGGGAATATGAATACTGATTTTAGAGTGTGAAAGGATGAATGTGAAGAAGGAAGGAGTGACTCCTCACCTGTTGGAATTAGTCCAATATTTGGCCTGTTATTCATGGGTTGTCTAAGGAGAAACTGCTCCTGCTCATCTTCTCGATTATCTGCAGAAAAAGAATGATCGATTTTTCAAAAGTCCAGAATATAACCGACCCTTATGTCTTTTTAGCTTAGTCCACAAACACTGATTTTAAGGAGGATACGGCCATGATGAGGTTAACTACAAATAGGTGCCTAAAAAAGCTAATAGTTGTGGGAAATCCTAGTGAAGATTGTGAGGCTCTTTACATCTTCCAGTATGTGATAACTCAAGAAAGTGCACTCCTTTGCTGCTCAGAGTAACTTAAGCTAAATTTCCTTTAGTACAGATGCCACTCTAGCATTATCTAAGCTATCATCACTGTCAACTAAGTTAGGGTGGGTTTATTTGAGAAAATCAAATTTTATCTTGCGTTAGTATTTAAACTTTGGTGACAGTGTATTAAATAAATGTCTCTTTAACCTGGAAATAAGTCAAAAGTTTCCAAAAAAAAAAAGGTTGTGTTGTCAACTGAAAATAATGGAAACATTACTGCATGAACAAAACATCAGTTGGCTAAAATATCATGTTGTGTTGCAAATTGTTAATAGGAATTCAGTGCCTAAGATACTATCCTCAGAAAAGTTAACAACAGTGTTGCAAGATATGACTCTCTCTTACCTTCAGAATACAGTGCTGAACCATTCCTAGATGTTATGATTCTTTTAACTCCGTATACAGCAAAAATAAGCACTAGAGCAATCAGTATGATCATTCCAACTAATATTGAAGGTTTTATATTTCCATTCAATGTAACATCTACTGATAATGCAGTAGGTTTCCTGACGTTATCACCGGAAGTACTCTCCGTTTTATTTGCTTCAAAATTGTGATCAGGAAGAAGAGTAACAGCCGTGGCATGAGTTGTATCAACACTAGCTTCTGTAGAATTTTCCAAAGCTTCCTTGCAGAGCTTGTTTTGGTGGTTCTTGAGACACTGCCAGTCTTCTCCCATTCCAATTTCTTTACATTTCTTTATTCTACCTGTTTCGTCCACACTGGAACAACAAAAGTAACACTCTTGACAGAAACCATTGTCATCGAGGTAATGTC